GTCAACTCCTTCCTGTGACGTTTAATTTTAAGCCTGATTATATTCAAGTAAAATACATGAAAGATAACAAATTAAATTTGTTGGACAAATAATGAAACACCTAGAGTTTATTTTTTACCAAAAATAATAAAAATATGTTGTTGCTTTTTCATTAATAAATGAAAGATAACCACTTTCATAAACAAGTAGAAAATTAAATTCATATGCTTTTCGTTGGATTAAAAGTTCCTAACGGCTGTGCTTTCCTAGCAAGGTTTAATCTTGACATGTCTAGATATTTTTTATAAAAATACAGCATGATATACTAGATATAGCCAGAAATGATGCTGGGTTCGACAGGCTGATCTCATCGCCGAAATGACTTCCGATTCCACACCCCGCCCGACAATATCAGCCTGTTAACCCTGCTCCCGACGAAGACTATACTTACACATACATTCTTGCTTTCTATGTGAATCCTGGTCTGTGCTATAAACGGAATATTTGCAAGAATTTGCAATTCTATCACGGATATGTAATTTATTATTATTCTTTTCTCAATTCAACAATACTCTTAACTGTCTTATTTTTCTTTTATCACAGCCATAGACGAAAACATTTATTTCTTTAATTTACAGTAAAACCAAAATTATTTTATTATTCTTAAAAAGATTTCGATGAAAGGAAGCTTGTTGTCTTGAATAATTCCCTTGGTAACAAATGTTTTGTTCTGACTTGTGACGAAACAAGAAAACTAAGTTATGCTCATCACTGATAATATATAAATCTTATCATCCAGGCTAAAAATTGAGTCACATGATACCTAACTTATATACATAAAGACTAACTTAAGCGCTTAATGTTTACTCTGTTCACAATCTAGTTTCCAGTTGAATATCACTGAAACTGTAATAATACTACACTCATACTTGTTATCCAAAGTCATAGCATGGTTATTATAAGTGGAAAGAGGATCCAACTTTGACTAAGGTTGATCTCAAGCCAACAGAGTATACTCTACAGACAATAGGTAAACTAGTCTCTCTCTGGACAATAAGCGCACAGAATGAACAGTACTTCTTGACATAAAAGTCGTTTTTGAATAAGTAGAAATGGAAAGGGAAGGAATGTTCTTGGATCTTACATATTTTTCATTTCACAAAAATTTTTTTTCTTCTCTCATCATAAAGTTCGTTGTTTTTGAACTTGAACAATCCCTTTTTGTTTGTAGGAAAAGAAATGATATCATTTTACATAATGATTTTCCATAAATTTCGTTTAAATTCATGACGCCTCGTTGATTTATATTGACGTCGGGAGATTAATTAGGTTTTTTATGGTGGAATTTGAATTCAATGTCACGAGGTTTATGAATCGTTAGACATAGTGAGGAGAATAAGCAATTGCATTTGATTTCAAGTAGGGAGGATTTGTAATTTCCGTAAAAGATAAAACACAAAATTGATTGAGGTAGATCTTTATCATGTTATGCATCTGTATTATTGTGCTTTTTCCTGAGTAAAATGGTTGTTTTTGATTTATTCCTACAATTTAGTGATTGACATTTGTGAAGAAAAACTTTTGATCATGTCAAAGAAATAAGTATGATTGAAATAGCACAACTTATTTACTTTTCACACCCACTCTTGATTTATCATAGAAAATTTTTCTTTGTGATACTTTATTCTACTTTTTATTTTGATTAAATAAATTTTTAATTGAAGTTCTTAAACTCTTAAATACTTATATAAACTTTTTCCATCCAAGAAAAATACTTATCAGTATATTAAATTTACTTTACTTAGTATTCAGATAAAAAATCTTATTCTGGCATTTATTAAAATTTTCCTATTGACACTTTGTCATCAACTTGTTATTTACATTTACTTCAGAAAAGTTTTATTATTAATAAATGTTATTTCAAAAATATTAGATTAAATATTCTTGTAAAAAACATTCATTCATCAACAAATATTTTGATAGATGTATTGAAGAAAAATATCAACAATAAATGATATATTACTTTTCTATACATATTTAATGTCTAGTTCAATAAGTTGAAATTGAAAAATTATTCGATTCTATATCATTTCTTCAGAACTTTTATTCTAATACGATACTCGAAATATGAAAATTCTTCGCTGAATTCTATTGTACTTTACCAGCAGCATTCTTCGAAACAAACTCTTGGATAGGTGCTGGAGCATGAAGCATGCATATAGACAACGCATTCCTAAAATATCTGCCTTCATTAATGAAGCTCGTCTAACGTGAATTTCCTTTATAAAAGCAATCCCTCATATGGAGGTTTACATCGTTACACTCATTAACTCTACTAAAGTGCTAATTGTATTTTATGAATAAAAGTTGTTAGAAATAAGTTACTACTGTAGTAATTGACACAATAATATTAACTTAGTGTGATTATTTACTTCATTAGAGATTATATTTTGGTACAATAATAAGGATAAGGATAGCTATCATCATACTTGATCTGCTCGCATACGTTGGTTCATTCACGCTGGTATAAACACACTTGATGGGGAGAAACAGAAAACTTTATGTGTTTAGTTTGGTGGAAAAATGTAAAAGATGAATACTTCCTACCTAAAAGTCCGTTTCGATAAAGTTTTTCGTGTAGGTATTCATAGCAAAGATGTACTTGAGTAAATGTTTTCAATTTGTACTTTGTTTAGTAGTGAAATTAAAAATTGTTTCCGAAATAGTTTCGAGCTTTTGTGCATTGAAAAATTTATTTTATTTAATATATACATTTTTATTAGATAAAATATTTTTTTTGCAATCATTTTATCGATTTAAAAACTATATTTTCTCAAAAATCACGCCCATCATGATTTAATGGACACACTATTGGTAATGACCGACTGAAATGAAAGAAGTGTTCGTACTTCTTTTTTCAAAAAAAAGAAAGGAATCATAATTCACAGTCGTAGCGTTTAACTTTAAAACTTTTTATCGGATATTTATTTAAATAAAATATTCGTACTTTTCGTAGAATACGTAATGAACTTGCATAAAATAACGAAAACTATTTCCTGCTACATGAAAGTACTATTATCATTTTTTATCATTTTTTTTTTTCGTAAGAAATATTCGGATGACTTTATTCACAAATTGACCCATCTTCAATCAGGTTCATATAAATTATAACCACTTTATCTGGCATCTTTATGTGACAATGAATACTCGTTGGAATAAGATATAAATCTATTCCTGCTCACAAATAGTGCTAAGAAAAAAACTTATAAAAATTTACAGCTTTATAAAACATCTTATCTTTTTTATAGACTGGCCTCTGAGTTTTTATCTAAAGAACTGTAGTTAACTATTTACGATAGTTGTTTTCTTTATAAACTTCGATAGTCATTAATTCTATTTTTCATATTATTATTCCACAAAATACATATCATTTAAAAAAAAAATTATTGACAATTTTTTGTTGACAAGATTGACAAAAAAAACGATTTAGTTGTCGTTAAAAATATAGAAAAAAATTAAAAACTATAACATTCATCAAACATCTATCATATTAAATCATGAAAAATTTATGATAATCAGCATATCAGATGAATTTTTTGATTGATTGAACCATTTTTAAGTCATACTTATATCTATCTAATGATCAAAAAAATCCATCAACGAATCTTACTCCAGCCAACATTTATTTTGCTTATAATCTCACGTCAGTTATCTGGATGGGTATACTTTTATTTTAACTTTACAAACAACCTAAATTCTGATAAATTACTTTCTCAGTATTCATTTTCATAAAATTCAATTCCAATTGATTTATTGTTATTTATCAAAAGTTATAATGATTTAGAAAGATTATGTATTTAAAAAGAATCCAAGAAAAACATTAGAGGTTTTAATTATTTGTGTTTTTTTTACAGAAGAATCAATAGGAAAGTCATTGTTTTCGATTTCATTCTTTTAAACCAAATCCTCAAGTATTCGTTTCTGTTTTCTACATTACTAAACTTCTGAATCTTCTTGAGGATTATTCTGCAAAGGAGTTCCACGACTTCTATTCCAAGTTTGAATACTAAACTTAGACTGCTCTACATTCCCAACATCATCTTGTTTTGTTCGAAAGTTTTCATCATAAGACAACGTAATGTAAAGAGTACAATTCGACAAAGAAAGCCGGTGATACTTCTGCCATTCAAAAAGTATAAGCTTTATAAATATCAAGCCTTTGTGCCAAAAAAAATGACTCGTGTTAATTACTTTATAATGTCAAGCTCAAAACTTTAGTCAACTCTACTTGAATTCTCTTCTAAGGTGCTGAGATTTATTAAACACGAAATAATAGAAGACCATTTAACAGGTGGCCTCTATATGAACATGTAAGAGCTTTGCAAATATAATCTTAGAAGATAATTCAAAAAATGAAGTACAATTATTTAAGTGAAATAGTCTGCGAGAATTTAGATTAATCATTCTCAGAAGGTTTGACTTTCTCTGTTTGTTTGTTCTTTCTAAAAGCCCTTCTCTGAAAGCACTCGTTGATAGAAAAGCGAAAATTTTGCACGCTTATCACATGAAATATAGAACAGAACCTAATGGAGCGAAACTTGCAATTTTTCTCCGAAAAGGAAGTAAGTACTGGGGATTCTGAAAAAAACTTATTTTTATGTATCTTTCTGTTTTACCAGAATAAAAAGTATGTAGACCGCAAAATTTTTTTTTCCACAAATATATATTTGTTACATCAATATATCATATCATTTATTCATTTTATTATTAAATATTAAAGTAATAATTACGTTAAACAATAATTATTACGTTATTGATTTTTCCTTGCATTTTCGATTATTTATAATTGAGAAATATAAAAAATATATTTCTCAATTATGATTAATATTTAAAACGGAATATTACTTGTTGAAAGTAAACTTATACAGTATATAATGATGGAATAGATATGATACGTTAATTATACATTACTCATGTGATAATTAGTTATAATAAATCATTTTGTAATTTTTTTTACTTACCAATTCTAATGACTGGAGGTAATGACATGGCTGTAGTAACAAGAATAACAATAAAAACAAATATCAGTGCCATTATGATACGCAGATATGTCTGCTTATTTTCACTTCACCTCACACTTAACGTGATCGCGCACGCATATCTATTGCATAGCTCGCGTGTCCCGACCACTTTGTTTACAATTACACCAGTTATTACTTTTATTTGAACAAAAAAAAATTAAATTTATGTATTCATTAAATTTTCGTCATCTAAAGTTATATGTAGGCTATTAATCATTTGATAGCGATGTACACATAATGCTTTTCTCCGTATTTTTCAAGTGCTCATCAATCAGCTGCGATCCCACCTCCTTGCTATATATTGCACCTATGCTGCAACAAAAAAAATTTTTCTGATAGATATACGTATACAAGAACAGTTTGGTTATAGGTACGAGATTTTATAGCAAGTGTAAAATATAATATAAGTTACAACTAACTTTATTTATAAATACTGCAAGTATGATTAAGTTTTAAACAAGTCTTATTTGCATGTAGTTATTCAAATAAGTTATTTCAATATTTAAGTAACAAACAGGGTTAAAGGAATATTTTTTCATAACTTTGAAGAGAAAATAAATAAAACATCGACTTAAATATTAACAACAGTTCTTTAAGTTTTTTTTGAAATTAAAAATAAAGCTTACATTGTTTTTCTTTTCAAGCTTGAAAATTTAATAACTGTGAGAATAAAAATAAGTATATTTTCAAAGATAAAATTCTACTATGTTTAAAATATGACTTTTGTCAAAAGGTTGGTTTTAACAGTAATATTTTATGAATAAGAATTTTCAAATTTTAATAATGTTTTACTATCTAAATGTTTTTTGTATTCATTAAGTTGAATAGTCAATTAAGATTAATTACTCATTATTTTTAGACAAAAGTGCATTTGATATTCTCATTAATTTTAACAAGAGTTTTAAAAATATTACTTCCCCATTTTTTTGAGTCAGCTAATAATAAAATTATATCTGACAAACGGCTGTTACTAAATAAATGATCAAATTCTCCCTAAAGAATTTTTTAACATTAAGACTCTTTTTGTATCGATTGACATTGACAAATATTTTATAAAAAATTGAAGGTAACTAACCGCAATTAACTCGAAAAAATATGTCCGGCCGTTCGAACCTACACTTCTATACAAAAGACATTCCCGAACATGACTTTTATTTTTTACTCATTTTTGATAAAACTGCAAAAAAGCTCTGCAGATGACATCTCGATCAATAATAGAGAGATGACACTCCCCTCTTGGTAAGTTATTCTCAATTCTACGTATGTTCTTTTATTCTTTCAAGCGCAGACACATTTGTTATTAACGTTACAGGAGAATATAAAATTAATAAAAATAATTGTAATTAACGAATGTATTGTAAATGAAAGATAAAATTATCTTTAAGACATTCATGAATAAAAATCTATATTACTTTATAACAATATGTATTGTTTGATAAAATAAAAAAAAATAAAATTCAATATACCAGCAAAAAAATTTTTAATCGAGAAAATCTTTGTGTAGGATTTAAAAAAAAAATTTTTTTTTAGAATAAAAAAACAAAGGATATATTTTACTGTAGTGTTATATCAACAGTTAATAGTATGTAGGTATATCTGTATTCACGAATTCTATATACGTCCTACAAAAATTTTGCAGCAATGTAGAAGTAGAAATTTTTTGATTATTCTGTAAACAGTGATGAATCTGACTATTGATTATCTATCTGTATATATTTAATTGTTGTTCTCAAATCAAACGCAGCAGCTGATAATAGTCTGTCTATACGGAGAGAATTTTTTCACTCGTCGAAAGTAAAAAAAATGAGAAGTACACGATTCGAAGTTGAGAAGTACAAATGTGTGTATGCAGAAGTAAATTATACTTACAGTAACTCGAAATTCGCTTCTGTATACACACATTTTACCTCTAAACGTAAAAAAAGAACTATACCAGCTAATTAATAAAACTTTATCATCCGTTTAATGAAAATATTTTTGAAATTATACTTTATAACAAACGAAATTTTTCACATCGATAATTATTTGAAAAGTAGAGTCGTTCATTATCTAATAATATTACCTTATATTATCAATGTAAATCGTAGTATTTCACTTCGATACACTTGGTATTTTAATACGACACCTATTTGATTGGCACTGTAGAGACTTTTAAACACTTTCAGGTGCATTGAATGTGATAATACAATATTTAAAAAATCGGTGACGTTATTTTAAAATACTTGAAGTGCATTTAAATGAAAAATTTTTCAATTTAAAATTGTCAATGATATTAAAATAAATAAAATACTATTTATTATTCAATATTCAAAAATAATATTTTTAAAAATAAGTTGTATTTATTGATAAAGCAATTTTTTTTGATAAAAATTATACCAGCAATTAAAAAATAAAAGGAAATTTATAGTTTCAAACTATAGGTTGAGTGTATTTGAGAATATATTTTTTAATTTATAAAGTTCAAATTTTCAACACATTTTTTTTATTTACATGAGCTCAACTACATTTAACCTAGAATAGTAAACTCTATGTACAAGTTAAAGTGAAGCCCGTTTTCGTGGTGACATGAGTACAGACCGTACTTGAAAGAGAACTCCTAAAGATGAACGAGAAAACAAACAGAACTAGCAGCAAAGTTGCCTGTTCTTCAAATTAGGTTAGGACAAATCCCTTCGGCGTAATAGTAATGGCAAGAGCGTGAACAACATATCAACATCACTGCATTTATAAACGCTGAACACATTTGCAATTGATTTTACTGTGTAAAAAATTAACTATTTTCTAGAAAGCAACCTTAATATATTAAGCTCTTGAGACTACACAAATTCACTGATTAACAATAGAAGAACATAAAGTTGTATTTATAAAAGTAATCAAGAATTTTTATAGACATGTTATCACTTGATCAACTTGCGAGAATTTATTTAATTAACAAACAAATTTTTTTTATACTCATTAATCTTGATGTAAGCTATTGTGTTTTTTCATTGAAAAAATTTTTCAATCTTGAATATTCTTAATTCAATAACGATTAAACTTTAAATTCTCTAGATATTTTTATGATAAATCTTTTATTGAAAACAAATATTCTTTGAATTTTCAGTAAATTTTCTACATTTTTAATATTTCTCCAATAGAATTACCACTGAATAAATTTATCCCAACCTGAAGAGAATAAATATTGACAGAATTTCTTAAACTTACATCTGTATTTTCTGAAATATTCTTAAAGAGGTGCTATAACGACTGATTTATACACAAGGGAAACAAACTTTAATAAATCGGACTGAATGGATCCCCCACAGAATCTGATCACAAAAGAAAGACAGTGGAATTTGTCATTAATAAAGATACAGTTGTTTCGTGTGATCATTGAATCATGATAATATTCACAATAATAATATTACTTGTACAAGTGGAACATTATGTACTACGAAACAATAAAATTCGATTTCATCAATTACCTTTATTTACTTTACACTGACATTAAAGTAAATCAATATGCATGCATCTACATCGTTATATTGGGCTCACATCAACTAATTATTGAATGACGATTGATTAATGAATCGCTGGTTTAAATAGAAGTGTCGTACTTGCATACATGATAATCAATATGTCGTTGGTCAGTATTAATATATTACAAGTAAATTCACACCTAGACTGAATATTATTTGATACAGTAATGTTCTTGTTTAAAATGAATTGAGAAATTGATGCACCCGATCGATATTAACTGGCTCAATTGGATTCAAATTGGGTGGACGTGATATATGCTTTAACCACACATTGGTTAATACATTTACTAACAGAACGGATTAAAATGTCTGTTGGATATATCGACGGTAAGTTCCGAAAATTGTCTGATGATTGTTCATTTGAGAAACTGCTGTTTACTAGATGGAAAATGTGTTGAGCTGCACAATTGATGATGCTTGTTTGTACTATATCAGACTACCGTTCATAATGATACTTCAATGAAGAGCATTTTATGCTATAAATAGTAAAGTCTTCGTTAGAGGTATTTTAGTTCTAATTATTATTTTTTTCTTTTCATTTAACTTTGAAGTTGTTTCTATTTCTCGTGTATTCATTAGTATCGCATAAATTATAAATCTAGCCTTTGTTCAAATCTTTTTCCATTTACTTCAACTAATAACAATATGAACAGATTCATAAATTAATTGATGATTACTGGTGCAGACCCAATTAATAAATAATTAAATTTTATTAAATGCTTGACTTATAATATGTATTTTTCAATACAGAATTCAATGAGAGCATATAATTAGAGAATGAATTGAATATAAGAAGTCTTAGAAGCATTAAATAAAGTTTTAATAATTTGTTTATTTTTATAAAATAAAATAAATGTGATTTTTATATCAACCAATCCAATATAATAGCAAAAATAAATATTAATCTTCAGGTATTATTATGCAATATGGTTTTAATTAAATAGCCATCTATCTGAAATCTCGAAGCTTCTTTATCAATATTGTTTCCTGTCACTCAATAAGCTACCTGGATCTTTTACTCTATCACTTCTTTTTATAATAAATTGATATTTAAATACAAAACTAAAAAAATAATAATACAATAATTTCGTTAGTAATAAACCGAAGGCTTGAAAAAAATCTCAGGTATTAGTGAGTTCAAATTAAAAGTTCAATAATTATTTTATCCCCTATTATTCACATTAAAAATCGTACATAATAATACAAATATAATAAAATATACTAAAAGAATATTAATGGACTTTATAAGTTAAAGAAATCCAAAACTTGTGTATTTATCAAGTTTATCTTAATTATAAATTTTAATCATTGACGAAGAAACTTCATTTTGATTAATTTTCTCTTGAGATAATCATAGCATAAATATTTCTTTACTTCAATTAAAAAATTCAATTATTTGCTGCATCAGACTTCTCATTAACGATAATATTACTGGAGATTGTTTAAACCATAAGACAACCCACAAGCTATTGTAAACCCTGGACTAAAAAATTGTAAGCTAATTACGTTGAAATGTAAAATAGGATAATTAAAATGTGATATGGAACTGGGTTACCACAGTATTATTAAACCATTTTCATAATTTATATTCAATAATAAGCAAAGAATATTGACATAAAAAAGTGAAGAGAAATATATTTGTTAATGATGGAATTTTTTTTTTAATTAAAACCTCTTACTAAGTAATAAGACATTGAAGTTATTCAAGAACCTCTAATAATGATAACCATACCACTATTATCGAGAGTTACTGTAATAACTTTTCTTACCCATTCAACTAAAGCTTCGAGTGGTTCTCTGTTAGCGAACATCAGAAACGTTTGAATTTTTAAGCATTTCACACTTGCACAGTAAATAATAAGATGGTTATGAATTGATATTTTAACAAACTGTTGATTTTCTCGTCATTTAGAGTTATGTTCCATTTTTCTTCAATTATTATTTTAAACCACAAGTCTACTACTTCATATATAAACTCCACCTTTTACATTTATTAACTTGACATATTTAAAAAAAACCTTTGATGTTTTAAAACCAAACAACGTGGACATTTTTGAAGCATAAAAAAAACTCAAGTATGCATTTTGTAGATTTGTAGTAGATAAGAATTTTTTTTTTGTTGATGCACTCACAATAATAGTCATAAATGATGTTAATTAACAAATACATTCATTAACGCAACAATTGTTTTTATCGTAAATTTCTAATTAACTATGCTTGTTCTATTTATCGAACTCGTTTCAATTCGTAAAATAAAATACACTACAGTAATTTTGTTTACACTAATAGATTTAATTACAAATTCTGCACGTAATTTCCTTGTCACAATTCCATTCATTAATGATTATGGAGTTAGTAGGAATTTATATGTGAAAAATACAAAATTTCTTTCTAGGATAACAAAACATTTCTGTCCTTTTTATGTCATTACACTTTATTATTTTTCTACATAATAAATTTTCCAACTCATCACTATAAAAAAAAATGTCAATAATGGGTTTGTCAATTTTTTACTAATTAAAACAATCCAATTGCAATTGAATTATATGGCAATTCACAGTTTTTAGTGTTTAATGATGATTTGTTTCCATCAGCTAAAGATTAATAACAAGCACATAATTACTGAAATTCATACACGACGATACTTTCCTATTTTTTGAGCGCGCAGTCCGATTATCGCGAAAGACGCGCGGGCACTAGCTCGCAGAACTTACGAATACCGAAACCAAGCAGTGGACTTGCTCAGGGGTTGCTTGCAGGGGTGGGACCACTACCACCCTTACGGGTGCGCGCGCGCATTTGTGCCCTGGGAAGTTCCCTTTAAACATTGTGAAAAAGATGCGTCATACATTCATCAGATCTCTTTATTTAGGTTAGTAGATGATAACTGATGATGTTTGCGAAGGAAAAATCATCTGAAACAAAATATGTGGGTAAATTTCACGAACTAAAAAAAAATTGTCACTTTTAATCAATCATGGGCTATATAACATTATAATAAAAAAGACAAATCATTACAACTTCCCAGAAAAGTAAATGCTTCATTAATTTCATTGTTTAAAAAATTCCAGTCTTTTTATTTGCAATAAAAGAGTCTTTCAAATGAAAATAAAATGTCCAAAGGAGGCAATCAATTTTTAAGGTATTTTTTTATAAGTAACATTAGTGATTCTTAATTAAAAAAGAATTACTTTTTTTTTGAGCTACCAGTTCAATGTCCTTTGCTTCTTCTATCATTTCTCTGACGTAAACTATCATTCTCACATTAAATATAATTAATATTCAGCATTGATGAAATTGTCTCCTGGAAAATAAACGTTTCTTTAAATCCAAATTATATAAGGCCAGTGCCATCAATTTCATATTAATATCAGCATAGACATTTTGCGAATGGCAAATTCATCCCTCTTATTCTCCATGAATTTATGCATTTATGGATAGAAAATTGACTTGTGTAAAGCTGCATAGAATGTACTTACACATACAGTAATGCTCTTCTAAAGTTCTCTCTTGGTTAAAATCAGAAAATATCATTTTGTAATATTTTTAATATAAAATTCATATGTACAAAAGAAAATTGAGACTGAACTCTATTAATGTTGGATAAATTTTGCATTAATCAAAGCCAGCAAATAACAAAAAATATTCGTCTACATTATAAAACTCTATAAACATCATTCGTATATCGATGAGTATTTGGTTTCAAGGGAAATAAAAGAATGCAGTTTAATATGATATTATGAAAAATAAAAAAAAATATTTGAGAGGATTAGTAATATTTCAATAAATTAAATATACAGATAAGTAATCGAGTAGTACTTTACTCGTTAAAGATATCCTTCGTAGACAAAAGCTATTTCGAAGGATGATCAACCCAACACCCGGTAGTCTTCTCAAGGTCGTTATCATCCCACTGCCATACTCCGATCCTAGCAGGATCATTTCAGACGTAGCCGCAATTAATTTTAACGGCTCTAGACTAGCACACTATCTTCCTCATGTTCTCTCAACGGATATGCTAGTCAAGAGATTTCTACAAGAGCTGGTGAGGAAGCAAAATGACGGCACTTTCGCGCATGCCATATACTTGTTCATGCAACTGTTCTTATTTTTACATATGCAGTAGCATAAAAAATTTAATTATCATCTTTTTACTGTAACAGATAAGTGAAAGCCATTAGAATGAAAATTTATTGATATCGGAAATGATAAAAAGATGAAAATATGTTGAAGCTTAAAGTTGAGGCTAATAGTTACAATGAAAAAGTTTGTCCAGAAGCTTACAGAAATCTAGCATTTCTTTAACTCGCGTGATTCACTGCCTATTCTGACTTTAATTCCGAATGAAATAAGGTAAATACCTGCGGCTAAGCTGCGGAAATACAAACTCTTGGTAAGCTGAACGCGCGGAAGCTACATCGCCATCGTTTACTGTTGTCGCTGTCATATTGGAGAAGGAAACTCTCGCTGAGTAAAACGAGACTTTAAGGAAAGTTACTTCTGAGGACAACGACTACTGCTCTACTGCCACGAGTTAACGGACTTTCTAGTTTTCATCCTCTAATTAACACACCGCATTTATTCGAACTTAAACTTTTATGATTAGTACTGAATTTGCTTCACAATATAATCCTATAAGAAATCCTCACGAATAAGAATTGGTTCATTGTTCTTCAACTTGAAGATTAAATAATAATTAGCAATTAAGCTTTTTCTTTGCTAAATAATATTTCTTTTATGATTGTCCGATAATTTATTTGAAGGGGTAGTTTTATTAAGCTTGAGTATTTGATTGGCATCATTATAAACTTTATTTAATAACACTTGAAGAAGAAATTATTTAATTGTCAACAAATCTACTAACCGTGATGACATGCTAGTATAGGATTCTTACAAAGATTATTAAACTTTTAGTGTCAATGATTTACACATGGACATTTTTATGTACATAAACTAGCACGCTTATATTGATTGCTATCTCTTTGGATTAAAGCCAGATCCTTTTGTAACTACGCCCAGTTCAGTTTAATCTAGTATGAGTTTTATATTTAACGCCACAGTTCAACACATTATACTACCAGCCTTTGGGATGCACATTAATCCTTACCGGGAAAAGTTTGTGATACGCCTCTAACAATAGATTGATTCGGTTCTGTAATTCTCGTTGGAATCTATTCAGAAATGATTTCCATTTTCGACAATGAATTGATTAATAAATTGTACATCTTTGATGGCTAAATACAATTAATTGTTTAAATATTAATTTCGCCGTTTATAAATAAAATAGAATTGATCTTCTTTGTCAACTTGTTTTTATTAAAACCTTTTATTTGCTTTGAATGGAGTAATTAAACCAGTTAAAATAATATAATGGTTAAAACAATTAGCAGAAAAAAAATTAGCTAAAAGATAAAATACAACGAAAAATAAGTTGCAAACGTCATAGTCATTTTCTTCACTACTTGGGGTAACCCATACTTTCACTTAAGTCCACTTATCATACACTGAATAAATTCAGCGAAAGCGCGATAAGCTCGTTGAAAGAGACTGTGATAACCAAAATTAACGGCTTACTTTTTCTGTTTATTTCTCTTTTATTTAGTTCTTTATTTAGAATGAATAGAGTACAGTCTTTTATTTTTGTACGAATAAAGTAAGAATTATATGTCAAGGATTTCTTGCTGAAGAAGTGGATACGCAAAGTTGAAAAATCTGCATTCTTTTCAGGAAAATTCACGTAAGATAGACCCTTAGGCTATGTAGTTTCTTTTTAATAAAAAAAAAAAGAAATCGAAACAATCAATATATTATTCAAAAAAAATAATTTTTTTTTAATTAATCAACCCCACATTTTCATAAAATAAGGATAAAACATTGTTTATTTGTGAATACGGTATTTTGGTTTAAAATTACTTTTCATGAGAGTAAATTCAGCTATTTATTTGCAATGCATGGATAATAAGTTTCATAAATATTTAAATTTTTGGAAAAACATTCTGTGATAAGAGAATGAAAGTTTGACAAAAAAATATGTAAAGAGGGTATTTCATTGGTTGATGATTTTTTTTTAAATTCAAATACTTAATGTAAGACATTACTTTGCTTGCTCAAATAATCTTGCAATGATTTGCTGAAACTATCCATCGTACACTATGTTATCTTTTTCTCTTTTTTCCTGGGATAACTTGATAGGCGATCGCTCCTACTTCGTGGTCTCACTTCAACGCGCTGAAGCGTGACAGGACAACGCCTTTATTGACAAGGTTATGCATTACCGAGTGTAGCATTCGACCGGAATTAACCGTGTTCTAGAAAACGGATAGGAAATTTATATGTCTTTTTCATTTACACTAGGCATTCAGACCCACATTCTGAATATTTAAGTTTTTAACAAAGAATTTAAATATGGTAATTTATTTTTTCGATCACTTTCTAACGTGGGGTCATGAAAAATACTTGGATGCTTTTTAAAATTCGATATTTTTTCAATTGCCTCGAATGCATTGAAAATTATATTGGAATTTTTAAATTTAAGTTGATCTCTAGACTAAGAGAATTTATGGCTAGAAATTCTTGTTCTTAAAAAAAATCTTTTTTTTTATAAATAAGATTCAAAAAATACAATTAAAGATAATACTCAGGAGAACACTCTGTTTCTTATCGTACCAGATTTTTACAATTGAATACGAAAGAACGAGAATAGAACGAGAAAAGATAAGCAGCTAAATATTGTATATTCTATCTATTGATTTTCTTTTGATGCTCAATTACAACTCGATGTTATAATATTTTTACAGTAATAATTTTTATGATACTGTCAATTTAATATAAAATATTACTTTCATTTTTATGCAAAAAAAATTTGATTATTTTTTATCAGGGAAAATATTACCGAAACTAAACAAGAATTTAAAATTTTCCGGAGCCAAATTTTCATGTCGGTTATTAAATTTTTTTTATCTTGAATTAATAAAATATTATTTTCAATTTTTTCCGAATTATTAAAAAACAAAACAAATCAAATATACCAATCATAAAAAAAAATATAATAAAGTTTTATAGTTTCATAAGAAGAGGAAGTAATAGCACTCAGCGATATTTTTTTA